CGTTCGAGTACAGTACATTGGATCGGCTGCAGAATACCCACGTTCGAGTACAGGTCCTCGAGCATCTCGGCAATCTCCACGGCAAACTCGCCCTGGACGACAATCTCATCCTTGCCCTCTGCGTTCTTGGTTACGCTGGAGCCGCACGCGAACTTGTTGGCAAAGGTCTTGGCAGCCTTCTTCAAATCGATGTCTGGCAAAACGAGATTGGTCCCATGAACGGTCTACGAGGCTACGGAGGGCGGTGGAACCCACCAAAAGCATCAAGGCCAACTACAATAGTGACATGTTTCCGCTTGTTCCGCGAAACGGTCTCGATGACGACCTTTGGCTGTTGCGAGCCCGCCGCCACGCGAGACGGTGGAACGATAAGGAGGCGAATCAGAGCCGAGCATGTGGCCGCAAACACGTCAATGAACTCCAATGGAGGCAGGCGTGGCATTCCCAACCGTTTTCTTCTTCTTGTCCTTGGACTTTCCGGAATCCTTCTTGGGCTCCGCCGTGGCCTGCTCGGGTGCCGGTCCGGAAGGCTCCTCGCCCTCCGCCAAGGAGGCCCGGCTCAATTGCTCCGCTGCGGCTGATTGCGGCAGCGGCAACGGCAGCGGTAGAGAGATGTCCGAAGGGACGCGTTCAGCGGAACTGAAGAAGCAATCCGGCCAATGGCCAAAGCACACACCATCGGCCGCGTACAGCACATCGTACACGTCGCCATGATGCTCTTTTAGCCACGCTTTACACCGCGGCAGGGTCTTGGCGTCGAACTCGCAGAACTCGGGCGGCAGCGTGCAGACCCCGCAGTACAACACGTCCTTCAGCACGCGCGTCGGCGGTACCGGCACGGAAGGCGGCGATGCATCGGCGAGAGGTGCGTCAGCTCCCGCGTCGGCGGGATTGGACGCGGGTTCGTCCATGTTTAGTGTCTCCTTTTGCAAACGAGTACATCCGTTGCGAGACGGCGCTGCGCGTGACTGAGCTTGAAGTTCCTCAACGTCGAATGCAATCAAGAGATCGCGCCTGCGTACTACCTGTAAACAGTTGGGACATCCGGAATACGTTACCTGGCAGCACGACCAAATGTATTGAACCCGGGTTGCCGCCGGACAGCGTGTCGAAGATGCAAAGTCTTGACAGGGCGGAGTACTAGCCACTATACGATTCGGGACTGCTAATCGCTGAAGGTATCGGGAACGAGGGCTCCAGAAATGGTCCACATGAGGAGTTCATGGACCGCTCGCAGCGTGTCCGTCTTGGACGATCGGCATCCTCTGGGGACGGTGGCGCAGGGCGGGGTCAGGATGTGAGGAGCAGGCCGTCCAGGACGTGGGGCTGGCGACGCTCGGTGGAGCTCGATGGTCGTCAGATGCCCTTTGGCCACCGTTTATGGGCAGGGTCTGTCTTCACCGGGTCCTGTCCGTGCTCAACATCGCCTGCGCAATAGCTTCCGCCGCGAGTCAATCCCTAGCTGCCATCCGCTTGCACAAGTCCGCCACCTTCAATGAGCGGAGCCTCAATGACGGCGCCGATCCGGCCACGGTCCAGCCGCCACAGGATGGGTCTCTGCGTGCCGCGGTTCCTCGACTTGTCGTGCACCTGTCCAATGAGAATGAGCAAGCAGTATCTTCCTCGGTCCCAGACACCATGGACGATACCGAGCCGAGGGTTTCTTTCCTCTGATGCAGTTCTGCGAACGCTGTGTTACACCGCGTGAACCCTATACCGGCTGACGAACCCCCACTCGAATTCTCGGCCCGGGAGCGAGCCGCCTACCCAGTGGATGCGGCAGGCGTTTGTCGCGGCCACGTGCGCCCTCGGCGGCCTTGCGCTGCTGCCGTTCCTCCACGCGGTGCCGCCCGCCCCCCCGTGGCGGCGGTGGCAGCGCTGCTGGGCGCACGGCGCGTGGGTGCGCCTCGACGCGGAGGCGCGCGCGCGCCGCAACGCCGGGCCGTGCGCGCGCGCGCCGACGCGGCCCGCCGACGACTGGCGGTGGCAGTCCGCGGCGTGCGCGGCGCGGCCGTTCCGCGCCTTCGACGCCGCCGACTTCTGCCGGCTGCTCGGCGGCCGCGACGTCCTCCTCGCAGGCGACTCGTTGCAGCTGCACATGCGCGAGGCGCTTGCGGCGCGGGCCCGCGGCGCCGCCGACCCGCCCGACGCCGCGCGCTTCCCGTTCGATCGGCCCGTGCTGCCCCCGCTGCACATCTGCGGCGCCTCGCCCGCCGGCCCGGCCCGCGTGGTGGCCCTCCGCAACTTCAACGACGGCCAGCTGCGCGTCGCCGCCGACCTCCCCTTCCGGCACGTCTCGCAGCTGTGCCGCCTCGGCCCGCTGTTCAATGCCTCGGCCCGGGGTTGCGCCGGCGTGTCTCCCTCGCTGGTCGCGGGTAGCTCCGACGACCGATTCCTGGGCATCGACGAGTTCCTCGGGACGTGGGCCGACGCGATCGGGCTCGACCCCGCCGTCGTGGTGCTCAACGCCGGAGCGCACTACCAACCCGACAACCTGCGGATCCCTTGGGCGCGCAAGGCGATTGCCGCGGCGGTGCGGCTCCGCCCCCGGGCGCTGGTGGTCTGGCGGGATACCCCACCTGGGCACGCAAACTGCAGCCGAATCTTCGAACCCCTTTCGGCTCCGCAGGAGCCAGCGTGGGCCTTGCCCTTCGCATGGGGCAAGTTCGCGGGGCAGAACGCGAAGATCGCGGAGATGGTGGAGCGGGAATTCCCCGGGGTCGTTTACATGGACGTGGCGACCGCGACCGCCCTGAGGGGGGATTTGCATCGCAGCGCGGCCGAGAAGGTGGTGCCGGATGATTCCGACTGCCTGCACTACGCACTTGGGGGTTGCGGACCGGCAAGCCATTGGACGGTGGCGCTGTACAACGTGATGCGGGCGGCGGGGATCTAGGGGTCTTTCATACGGTCACATGGCAGCGGGCACCGGCTCGAATCTGGACGGATCCCAACCCGGCCCAAAGTCCAGAGCGGGGAACTAACTTAAGTGTAGGTTAGGTGCATCGATCCTAGATTTCTCGGCCGGCGCATCTACCCATTGCCTGACCTTGGTGTCACTGAGGAAGCGCTGTGCCGTGGCACGTTGAGGACGGGAATCTAATCGGCGCCCAACGGGACTGCACCGATCATCGCATAGCGGGCTGCTGGCTCACAGCCCCGCCCCCCTTCGCCGGTTTTTCGGCGCCTTTGGCGGTCAGACCGTTCCCCACATCCGCGGACACGGCTGCGGACGGGTTCCTCCACCCCGGCACTTTAGCCAGGATCTCCTCCGCCCCCGGAACAAAAAGCTCCACGTCGGGGTGTCCCCACTGCGTGAAAACCCCTGCAATGAAGTCTGTGAGCTCCTGGCCGGTTTTCCCCGTGAGACGGTTCAAGAGCTTGGCCATGTCCATGTTCGCACCCTCGATACCCCCCTCCCTGTAAGGCGCGTTGGCCGCAGAGATCTTCTTGTAGTGGGAGACGACAATGGCGTCGACGGCCGCTGCAATTTCGCCCCTGCCCGCCTCCCAGTCGCCCGGGGCGAGGTGGCGCGTCGCCGAATCCCAGCTCCAGTATACATCCAGGCCCCATGCGTGCGTCACATTGCGGAACAGGGGCAGGTATCTCTGCAGCGCGGCCCGCGTAAACACCGGTGCCTGCTGCTCAATGAAAGACATGCGCCGGCCTACGGCCCCGTGGGCCAGAACATTCGGTCGGACCAGGAACTGTCTGTGATTTGCAACCGATGTCGCCGTCAGGGTTGGCTGGGAGATGGTCCAGTTTGCGGCCCTGTGCAGGGCAAAGAGCGCGTCCGCCGCGGCGGCCCCGCCGACAAAATCCGTGTCGTCGTCCAGGAGCAAGAAAAGGTCGTACGCGTCTAGCATGCCCGGCCAGAGTTCGTTCGCAAGCCGGTAAACCCCCGGGTATTTGTACGTCATTGGCATCCTGAAGATTCGGTCCACTGGGAGGCCCGTACACCGCGCACCGGGCGACCAATCCACGGCTGCGATATCGAAGGTCCGGCGGCTGCGCGGCACCAACAGCGGCGCCTTGGACGCGAAAAAGGCGTCGCGGGAATCATGATTCGCTTTGCAGTCGGTGCTGATGATAAGCAGGGCCCGCGGAGGGGAGGGCGCCGCGCACAGCGTTCCCGCGCCCGCGAGGGTGAGCAGCACCACCGCAGCGAGAAGTGTTCTGCGAGGGGACATGGTGGCCCAAAGGACACGGCCTGACGGGGATTTCGGCGCCAAGCCCGGGGATGACTCGCGTCCCAATAATCCAGGTCCGTCCCAATCGGCGGACTCGATCCCCTACCGGGAGCTCAATAATCCAGGTCCCAATCGGACTCGATCCCCTCTATTACCGGGAGCTCATTCCACCGCCCTCCGAAAAGCAACCGCAACAGCAAACCCTCACCCAGGTTGACGAACTCCCCCGCCGGGCCCCGGACGACCACCGGATCCTTTATGCCCACCGGATCCTTTATTTCTGGATTTGTCTCTTCGTACGGATTGAACAACGAATTGTCCGACGTCCGAAACGGTGATTAAAAGAAACTGACGCTACTATCTGCCAAGTCGAATGATGGATCGACCAGTGAATGGCTTGTTATCCTCATCAGAAAGCGCATAATCTTGGGCACGGCACAGAGGGACGCAGATCGAGGACCGTTCGTCTCCGCTCATTGAAGGTGGCGGACTTGTGCAAGCGGATGGCAGCTAGGGATTGACTCGCGGCGGAAGCTATTGCGCAGGCGATGTTGAGCACGGACAGGACCCGGTGAAGACAGACCCTGCCCATAAACGGTGGCCAAAGGGCATCTGACGACCATCGAGCTCCACCGAGCGTCGCCAGCCCCACGTCCTGGACGGCCTGCTCCTCACATCCTGACCCCGCCCTGCGCCACCGTCCCCAGAGGATGCCGATCGTCCAAGACGGACACGCTGCGAGCGGTCCATGAACTCCTCATGTGGACCATTTCTGGAGCCCTCGTTCCCGATACCTTCAGCGATTAGCAGTCCCGAATCGTATAGTGGCTAGTACTCCGCCCTGTCAAGACTTTGCATCTTCGACACGCTGTCCGGCGGCAACCCGGGTTCAATTCCCGGTTCGGGAGAAATTTTTGTTGAGCGCCATGGAACAACTAAATGACCCGCTTCAATCAAAACCGGGCGCCGTGAAGGGATGGGCACGGTGGGCAGGGAATCCGTTGGTGTCCATGGGCAAGTGAATGATACTTTTGGTGCCCGCCAGCTAGATACGAATGATACTTTTGGTGCCCGCCAGCTAGATACGACAGCAGCCGGACGGCGGCGGGCGTGCGCGGCTCGTGGCCTTGTACCCATAGGCCGAGTGACAAACTTTGAATAATTTCCGGGGGGTCCGGGGGGCGGGCCCCGGGATTCTTCATTTCCAGCTATGTTTCGAGCTTTGACAACTTTGATTTATCGCCGCGGTCCGTGGGGGAGGTGCGCGGCGCTACAGATGTCTCGGGTCGGAGCCGCTGCGGTAGACCGTCACGGGCACTCATTCTACATCAGGTAGAGCCAGAACCGACTAGGGACGATGCGTGGCGTGCGCAATTGACCCCAAAGCTTGCCTGCGGAGCCCGGAGCCGAAATCCCAACGTATTTCGCGATCGATCTCGCGAATGCTGCCCCGAATGTAGGCAGCAGCCTCCTTTGTTGCCCGATCGTCCGTCCCACGGATTCAGTGGAAGCTTCGTTGGGTTACCATCCTTTCGTGGAGGCATTGGAGGCCGCTGGCCCAGATCCCTGGCAGCACCGAAGTTTCCCGCCGAAGTCCTCCACTGTGGTTCTTCCGAGCCGGTTTGCCATCACACGACCGACGCAGAATCAAGCGTAAGCGAAGCTGTTGATGTTGACGAAATGCAGCGACAAGAGAAGCGTCGCGCTCGATACCCCACCTGAAATCGGGCCGACGGGCCCAGTGATGCTGGCATCGACCCATGCTCGCGAGCATTTCGAAAGAGAAGTTCCTGGAAGCAAAAAGCAGCATCCGAAGATGAAGAGAATGGGGACAAGCGCGTCCGCGATGTCTGGTCGACAGGTGCTGTATCGGCGGGCCGCCCACGCTGGTACGACGACGCGAGGTGCCCGTCCGAGTAGCAAATCACGATGACGATTGACAAAAGCGTCGCCGATCCAACTTTTACGGGCTTTCCTGGCCAAACCGACGGGTTCGGCGCGCCCGTTGGTCACCCGGATCCCTCCTCGTCCGGTCCAGCACGAAGTCTTCCGGAAAACCGACACGCCGTTCAGCGGCAGTCCATAGACCACCAAAAGTGCTCGTCGCGTCGGAGCCTCCAGTCCCCTCAATTGAGAGCGGTGCCCCGATGTCCCGATGACCCCTCCGGCGGGAGGCTCTTCAGCGCGCTCCAGCAGCCTCAAACGAGCTCCGCGCGCCCGGACCGCCGGCCCAGCGACTCTCCCGAGTACTATGGCGCACTCTGCGGCCGGCAATCGGGGCTCCAAGTCCAATTGCGCCGCGGGGAAGCGGTGTCCGCACGACCCGTTAGGCGTTTGGTCGCCTATGTCCGCACGACCCGCCAGCCCTATGTCCGCGCGACCGACCGCTAAGGCCGCTCGGCCTATGAGGACACTACCCGGCTCGTGCGTGCCAGTCTGCTGTCCCAAAAACGACACCCCTAGCTCCGGCACTCCCGTCTCCCCCCCGCGCCGGCGGGCCAAACGCCATGCTGTGGCCGGTGCTGCTCGCGGCGCTGGCGACGGGCGTCGTCGTCGCGGCGCTCGTCCACCGCTACGGCAACGTGCGGCGGCACCGCTGGTACGTGACCGCGACGACGTACGTCGGCTGGCTCGGCCCGTTCTGCATCGTCTTCCTGCTGCCTATCGACCTCACCTCGGTGCGTTTGCCCGCGCTCTCCCGTTTCGCGCCCGCTGAACCCGCGCAGACGCTGTACCGGCGCCGGTGCTCCGAAGGCGGCGACTGCCCGGCCCCGCCGCTCGTGCTCGTCTCCGAGTCGTTCCTCTACGCGTTCTGGACCGCCATCTACTGGACCTCGTTCGTGCTCACGTGGGCCGTCATCCCCACAATGACGTCGTACGTGCGCTCGGGCCGGTTCTCCGCGGTGGACAAGATCAAGGAGGCCGTCCGCGCGAATTTGATCTACTACGCCGTTGCCGGGGCGCTCGGCGTCGCCTTTATCGTCTATATTGCCGTGGCAAAGGGCCTGACGGGGTGGGTTTGCGCTCCGAGCCGGCCGTTTCATGTGGTCTAATCGCCAACATTCTTTCCTGGGGCCAGGCAAGCCCTGCTCAGCTTCTTGATCGCCATGGCAAACGGCTGGGGTCTTTTGCTTATCGTCCTTTTCCTCGGACATGGCCTCGTCTCCGTTCCCCGGGAGCTCTGGCGACGCGCGGACTACCACTTGTATCTGAAGCATCTTCAGTACCTCGCTCCGGGGATGAAAGAGGCTGCAAACGATGCCGAAATCGAGTTTTACGACGTCGCAAACGACGTTGCGGCCGCCGCAAGGAGGGTCGGGGATGCGGACCCGCTCAGGCCCTTTGTGGACAGGCTGTTGGAAAAGTGCCCCATGGCCCTCACGGACAGGAATTTGGGCCAGGCATCGTCCCTCCCTGCTTCGGGGGTCACGTCGGCCCACCTTGTGCAGCTCCATCTTCGCCTGAAGGCGGCGGTGCGTGCCAAGGAGCGCAGGGAGGCTCAGTGGAGCAATCTCCTGCGCGAAGCCTTTTTCTTCGAGGATCTGGTCGAGTCGGAGCGGAACCCGGAGAAGAAGCTGGTGACGGCTGTCACGAGGTCCGGCACCGTGCCGGGGTGGAGGATGTCGCTCGGTTAGTGCGCGCCGCCTTCCCCAGGGAACGAGCTGATCGGGGTGTCGATGCGACCAGATTGGTGGTGGTACCTGCGAATACGCCCTGCACTGCAGCGCGCGCTGGCATCCTGCTGCGCGCTCCTTTCGGCCGCGCTCATTTGGTCCGAGATGACTTTTCAGATTCAGAAGCCGATGCTCACCATTCTTGGGCTTCTGTTCCATATACCCGGCATCTCCTACGAGTGGATCGAGGTGGGATTCAGCGGAGCCGCGTTGGTGAGTGTGGCTCATGTCGTTCCTGCTGGCCACCCGTTGCGCAGGCCATGTGCATCATCACCGTGAGCTACATGTGCATCTGCGCCTACTCGAGCCTGTTCAAGGTTCGCATCTTCGACGTCTACGCCTTGGTTCCGAATCACCACACGGACGAGGGCTCCCTCCTCTTTGTTGCCGCCTACCTCTGGTGAGGGACGGTCACAGTCCACCATGGTGCTAGGAGACTGACGAAGGGCGCAGCCGCCTCACTTTCCCGCTGTGTTACAACTTCTTAAACTTGCTGACGGACCAGGAGGACACCATGTTTGTGGCCATCATGGGCAAGATCGATCTCTTGCCCCTCCTGGGCTCTTTCCAGGTCTACGTGCCCCTTTCCATTGGCCTTATCTGCCTCGCCACCTTCTTTCACTTTCACTCGCGGCTCCTGGCGATGTGCGGCTGGACCGACTTCTTCACGGGCGAGGATCGGGCGGACGGCCCTATCGTGCAGGAAGGCAAGAGCTACATCGACCAGGCCCGGGCGGCCGAGGAGAGGCAACGGCGCAATAACAGCCCGGCGAACGGCTCGGTCGGCTACGCCCGGGACAGGGACACGGACCGTCTCCTGGTGCGTCCGCGCGGCCGGGGCTAGCAGGCGATCCCGCTCATCGCACGCCGTCCAAAGCAAGACGCGGAAGAGAGACGGAGCCCGACCGTGAGCGAACGCGGCTTGGGGAACGGAAGGACGATCCGCAACGGCCGCGGGTCCGCGAATCCCGAGGAATCGAGGCAGTCGCTGTCGGCCAGGCTGCAGGGCCTCTTTGCCCCCAAGCCGACCCGAGCTGCCGCCGCGCCCGCGCTTGTGGAAGTTCCGGCGGAGTTCGAGGTACCGGAGCTGGAGGACGACAACATCGAGAGCATCCTGGCGAGCCGGCAGGCCAAGGCGCCGCCGAGAACTTTCACGGTCGCGGACTGAACGCAGGACTGCGGGGAGCTGAATCTACGGTCATGGATGTATTGTTGATCTGTTGATCTGAATGCATAGTGAGCATCGCTCCCGGAAAGCCACTGATGAGATTTTGGAGACCGGGTGCGCCCGGATCGTTCCGCGGGCTGATCGAGTCCGCTTCGTCACCACCACCCCAACGGCAATTCTCGCGACGAATCGCAGCGACCGGCCCGGCCACAGCAACCAACGTCCGCGGAGCCCACCGTTGCAGGAGATTCGAAGCTGCTGAGCATGCCTGCCAACGACGGAATGCTGTCTCCCCAGGCCAGCAACATCTCGACCGACGCGACCGTCGAGGGTACCCCGATGCCCATGCTCCGCTCGCGCCGGAGCTCGGTTGTGCCCATCGTGGAGGTGGCGAACGGAACCAAGCTCCGCGGCCGCGTGGCGCTCGTGTGAGTTCCCCCGTGCTCGGACCCTGTGGCGCCACTGAGTGCTCGGGCAGCACCGGAGGCACCCGCGGAATCGGCGCCGCCATCGTTAAGTCGCTCGCCGCTCAGGGCTGCATCGTCGCTGCCGGCTACGGGGGCAACAAGGAGCGCGCGGTCCAGTTCCAGACCGAGTTCCAGCACGAGTTCCCGCGGAGCACCATTTCACTCCACCAGGGCGACATCGGCAACCCCGACGACTGCCGCCGCGTCGTGGGCGAGGTCGTCGAGCAGCACGGTCGCATCGACATTCTTGTGAATAATGCCGGTTTGACGATCGACAAGACCGTCGCCAAGATGACCGACCTGGACTGGAACCGCGTCATCAGCGTCAACCTGTCCGGCGCCTTCTTCTGCTCGCAGGAGGCCCTCAAGCACATGGTGGAGCAGGGCAACGGCCGCATCATTTTTGTTTCCTCCGTCATTGGCGAAATCGGCAACATCGGGCAGAGCAACTGTGAGTGTGATCGCTCCCACTGCGGCGTCGCCGAACGTTGAGCCCGGCCTTCCACGTCAGACGCCGCCTCCAAGTCGGGCCTGTTCGGTCTGACCAAGACGCTCGCGAGGGAAGCCAACTTCATGCTGGAGAAGGCGGGCCTCCTGCA